ATTCTGTTTACATAGAATTTCAACCCCAATAATGTCGCGTGACTCAAATGTTCAGCGAGATCTTTGGGAGCATTGCCTACTGTAAATCACTTGTTCAACCAAAGAAGACTTGAATCTTACCATAATTATGTATATTACCTTTATTTTCCAATGTATTTTGCAACAACAAATTTTTTCCTGTCGCAAAAGAAAAAGAAATCGATTGAATATTCGAACGTTTCTGTAGTTTAAATGAATAGGCAGAACTATATAAAAATGATAAAATTACCATTGTTACTACATTATTAAAAACTATCGCCTCAGGCCGGTTTATGTCCCCTTCGTCGAAATAACTTACCTTCTTCTTAACGGGAATTTCGTCATGGAAAGTTAGTTATCTAATAAGGAGAGAAAGTATTATAACTTTCGCGATACAATAAAATAATTTCAAACGCTGAGATCCTATAATCAATAAAACCGCTTGAAACGTATAGTTTCCACAAAAATATCAATAAAATTTTACCGCTCCTTGAAATACAGGAGAAAAAAGATAATGCTATAAGAACCTCCATAAGCTTACAAGAACCAAGGAAACACATGAATTTTTTGTTTTATTTTCTCATAAGCAGTAATTTTTCAGTTTGATCCCAAATTTGTAAGCAATGGTTCTTGTAACTGGCTACATAAATGCGCAGTGCAATTTGTTTCAATGTACCGTTCGTGCATCAAATTTGACGGAATGCGATGTTTACTCTTTGTAAGGTCTCGCCCAGTGAGTACGAAAGAGAGCATGGACACGTAAACGGTGAAATCAAAGAAACTACGTCACAAGATGGTGAAGATAAAAATGAGACGCTAAAGAGGTCAATAACACGCGCCGTTACAGAGGGAATACTATACTAGAACTAAACGTAAATTACACAAAGAGATTTTACAGTGGAAACTTGATTTGTTGACTCAACTGAGAGACGATATGGACTAGATAAATAGAGATCCAAATGATAAACGAAACCCAACACAAAATTACGTATAAGTGCATCAATATATCGCTAAATGTGCAGTGCTTTCAGTTGACGATGTGTACTTCTTTACAATGTGGCATTCAGTTGAACATTATTTACGCTACACTGCGCGTTCGTTCAAAGTAGCGCGATTAAAGACTAGCTTGACGTAAATAAATGTGCTTTAAGTGACTCTTCTACTGAAAAGAAAAAGTTAATGGTGCAGTATAAATAGTAAAAATCCGACGAAATTGATTTGTAAAAAATGTTTTTATAAGATTTATAAGATTCACGGTTTATTTCAGACTATTCGTTCATGATAATTGTTTCTCAATAATATTCTGATATCTGAATCAATAACTTTTTTACAGAAGTTTGTCTCAACTTTATTAACCAATTGTTGTGTGCCAATAAGACAATTATTTTGTTTACAATTTCAATATTCTTTATTGATCATTTGTACTTGTATTCAATTATACTTTCTGTGATCTCTGCGCACTAATTTGCTTTATTTAAAGACTTTCGCTTTCATAATAATAAGTTAATGTTTAAAATTATGTAAAATATTTAAATAAAACAAAAAGCAAAATTGGCGGTCACTAAACGTAGAAAAAATGAGTATTCACATAACTATTACAATTCTACCAACCTATACAATTTCTGCACATCATTTCGCTGGTAAATTTAATTCGTCCCAAATAAATAAATCTCCTAATTCGAAAGAAGTAAATATTTAATAAAAAATACGTTAATAAACTCACATATAAACTCTTCCAACTTTATTTGTACAATAAAAGCAACATACAAACAAAAGTCTCGCAAGCATTAAACACTATAATTTTAAATAACATTCATTATACTCAATAATACACATTCCTGTGCAAAAAATATTTGGCCCATTTTCAAATATTAACACCTTGCCCTATGATTTATTTTTGAACTGTAATCAATACAACTTTGTCGGTAATTATTTATTGAAAAAAGAGAAAAATTCTATGCATATTCTATGTCTACATTTGTTCTGTAATATAATAATTGATAACAGAAGAATAATATTTAATTCGAATTCAAAATAGTTAAATATAAATGTATAAAAACCATTTTACAACCCACAATCAAATCCTTCCGTTCATCTATTATTTTCACAGCAATTAAAACTTCACATTCCTACCTAAAAGAACAAAGCTGTCTGGATAATACTCAGTCCCGGTAATGATCGGTGCATTGAAAAGAGCAGCAACGGAGCTTTACTCGCGTGACCTTGCTTCTCGAAATTGATGAAGCGCGGATCACGTGCCGTTCGGAAAAGCCATTTCATCGTCGAACAAGAAGACCGGGAACGAGGGCGAATGGTGGCGGACCGAGGAGCGACGGTCAGCCGGAGCGGCGCGGTCTTTTGTTTCGGCCGAATCATTTTACTCGCCGGAGAAAACGTTCTCGTCACGGCTTTAGTTTACGGGGAACAGATATAGTAGGATCCACGTGTTCCTTTCGCTCTCTTTTTCGAATCCCTTTCGCCGTTCCGCCGTCCGAGAGGACGGATCTCGACTGTGCTCTGCCCCGCCGCACGTCGCCGTTACTACACTACTATTGCCACTACTACCACCGTTGCCGCTACTATGCGTGCGCGTGCGAGTACCACGGCGGGCAATCGGTAAACCGCGGCCGACATTCCGGCGTCAGCGACCTTAAGGGTGAATTTCTAATCAGGGGAGCGCAACGAAAGTAGCTAAAAAAAGATATATTCGATTCCTCGCACTTCCAGGCAAGATTCACGATCGACGATCGAATAAAAACTCGACTAGACCTGCGCGGAGAATTGGAAGGGTTAAGTTCATCTTAAATCGCGCGTCGATTCGACGGGTACACAAACGAATCGATAATCGAACGTAACCGACCGGCACGCGAAAATCGTTGTTCCTTCGGTTAGAGGTTTCCACACTGAAGCCGGACTCTTTGTTCGAAAGTTTTTTCAGTGACCGATTAATGAAACTTTCAGCTTAAGATCACTCGAGAATAACAACGGCTCGAAGAGCGTGCGAACGCGAAGCGTAACGAGAAACCGGACACGGAAACAGCCGCCGGCTGGATCGCATCGTTTCGCGCTGAAAATTGTTGAGAGTATTGTTGAAAAATACGCCGGTAATAGGAAAAATGCACCGCTTCCGAGCGGATTAGATAGCGGACTCGCGAACAGTCGCAAAGTCGTGCAGCCTCGCCTAGAGTCGTGACCGCGAGCCGCAGCAGGAGGGAAACATCAAAACAAACCACCCGTTCGGTGTAATTCTGGTTTTTCGTGATACGCGACGAATTTTTTTTCTTCACTCCTCGTTTCACTGTCACTGTAAATATAAACGGAGGAAGGAAGGGGGGTAGGGACGTCTTTCTCGTTTCCCTTCCACGTTCAGCTGTCAATGCACCACCAAATAAGGAAGGGCTCTCCGTGTACAACGTTAAACACCGCGCAACGTGTTCCGGGCACGGCACTTCAGGCGATCATATAAAAACGTTTAAGACGGCGTACTCGTGACAGAAATCGACGGCAGGTGCCAGTAAAGACACACAAAGAGCAGGAACTCACCGAACTCTGCGGGGAATTGGATACGCTCGGGGATCGTTGCACGGTGACCAACGCCATGATAATGGCCTCCCACGTTGTCGAAATGCTGGAGATAACACTCACTGCCACTATACACACACGTACAAACGATCGTGTCCTTCGAGCCACGAAAAAACAATCATTTTTTACGCGCTTCCAACGGCATCACGCACGCGGCGGCCATGTTCGATACAGTCTAATATAGCGGCAGTTTGCGCGTGCGCGCAACCATGGCGTGCGCACCCCGCGAGTCCGCTTATCGCTTGACGACGTCATTGCATCACAAACGTTGTCATGAATTTGTTAAGTATGCGATATTATTGTGAATGTATTCTTTCTTCGCTGAATTTCACGGGGAAATATGATTTCGAAACGGTAAATTTGAATTGTTCTTCATTGGTTTACGATAATATATTCGCTGCGACAGTGATACTGATTAGTTTTTGTACATTCGTATATGTATGTAAAAAGAAGAAACGATAGAGGTGAATGTACAAACAATGAATGAAACATTAATACATCTTTATGCGACGTTTGTCCGTCTATAATCATAAATGAGATATAATGTTACAAACTTTTAATGCTCAAACAGGTTTTTTATTTTATTTTAATAGATGCTTATCATATATATATATATATATATATATATATATATATATATATCACAAAAGAATTTATTTATTAATCTTTTACACTAGTGGGTAAACAAACATCCTGCTTTGAACCAATGAATGATTATATACATAAAGGTAAATGATCTTTCACGCGCAAGCTTATTAAAATTTATACAACCTAGTGTTGGTATAATATTAATGCTAAGAATTAAAACTAAATTTAAATTGAAGGTATATTGTTTGCGTGAAACATGCTCCACTAAATCAGTTGCGCACTTCCGTTTTCGCGCGCCCTCACAGTTAACGTGTTCCTATCACCAATGACTATCGAGTACCAACAGGAAGAAGAATCCATAAACGAATCAACGCCGAGGTAAAAAGCTTTTAAAAAAATTAAATCACTCGCTTCAACAATCGAAAGTATCTTGTTATCTATCTTACTTCGCAACGATTAATTCAAACTACAAAAGAATTTTATAAATACTCTAAATAATTATATTATTATTGCAATTTTTACTTGTGTATCTTATTATATAAGTACATTAGAATCAATGTATTAAGCAACTACCTAAAAACAATTGAATTGTTGAACAATCGTAAGTATTGAATCTACTCAATGTCACTACAATAAAGTGAGATAAAAAAATAAAAAATTACCATTTACCGTTCGGAAGTTGTACTGATTGAAGATAGTTTTCAAATATGCAATATTATTATGATATAGTTCCTCATTTTGTTATGGAAAATTAAAATAATTTTAAATATTACTATTTAAATGTTTTGGTATTGTCAAATCGATTTGTTTAGTATTCCACAGATGATAAGAAGGTTTCAGTGAAAATGTAAATACTTCCATTGGACGAATTCGCAGCTAACGGAAAATTTAAAATCTATCGATATTACAAATGCATTTAATATATCGATAATTCGATTATAATCGAGAGTTCGAAATGACTTTAAGTTATTGGCACTTGCAGTATTTGTACTTACACTGAATTGAGATACACGCGCATGTCTAAAACTTTAACAAAAAAAGTGCGTACGTACTTGTATTCTTGTGAAACACAATTTAAATATACATATTATATTTATAATAAATTGTTGTTGAAGTTATATTAAACATTAAAAATGTCGAAAATTTTTACACCAACAAATCAAATAAGATTAACCAATGTTGCCGTGGTTCGTATGAAAAAAGCAGGGAAACGATTTGAGATCGCCTGTTACAGAAACAAAGTTATTTCATGGAGAAATAAATTGTAAGTTTTTTAAAGTCTCCCGAAATAAATACGTATTGCGTTATTTATATGTTTTGTCAAACAACATAACCTATAAACTGAAAATCGTCGTAGTGACTTATTAATGATTTTTGTGCAACAAGAATTTATTAACATTAATTTCAGGGAAAAAGACATTGATGAAGTTTTGCAAACACACACAGTTTTTATAAATGTTTCAAAAGGTCAGGTTGCAAAAAAAGAAGACCTTGTAAAAGCTTTTGGAACAGATAACCAAACTGAGATTTGTAAAGAGATCCTTACTAAAGGAGAACTTCAAGTTTCGGATAAAGAAAGGCATTCTGCACTAGATTCTATGTTTAAAGATATTGCGACGACTGTTGCTGACAAATGTGTTAATCCAGAAACTAAACGTCCATATACTGTAACAATGATAGAAAAAGCCATGAAAGACATTCATTTCTCCGTAAAGCCAAATCGAAATGCAAAACAGCAAGCTTTAGATGTTATTCCTCAGTTAAAAGCTATAATGCCATTAGAACGAGCTCAAATGAGACTAAGGGTTTTGGTTTCAGGCAAAGAGGCAAGGAAATTAAGAGATAAAATAATTAAGTTAGCCACAAAATTCGAAGAAGAAGAATGGAATAACGGAACATTAAATTTAGTATGTTTAATTGATCCTGGCCAATATAGAGAAATAGATGAACTAGTAAGGTCTGAAACAAAAGGTTCTGGATTTCTAGAATTACTTAATTTGAAGGAGATTATTGAAGGAGATGAAATTTTAGAATAAATTATGAACCTAATAAGATGTTAATTACTATAATTCATAACCCCTTATATATCTAATAAATTTAATTTCTTATCACTATGTCTTATTTTCTTAAATTATAAATTTATTTACAATTATTCTCTTGCTTTATATACACATGAACTAAAATTTGATACAAAACATTTATTTTGCACCATTAATCTATATAAAAATAATAAAATTAATAACTGCTCATGACATATTTGAATATAATTGTCTGCAAAAATTTTTTAATATTAATAAAATGAAATTACCTTCGATAACACTGTGGAACAAATTTTGACCGATGTTAGTTTTTGCAATAGCCACTATGTAATTCTTATAGAGTTCCTTACCCTAAATACGAATCCTAAAACCAAATTGCTGGGTCAAGTTCAGAAAAAACTGGGATTTTGTAGAAACGGTCGAATTTTTCAGAAAACCAAGTGTTACGTGAAAATTACAAACGATAGGCAGTTAAAATTTGTCGCAAGAAATAAAGGAGATTTGCCCGATCACGTAGCTATAAAAATTTTGAATTTTGCGTATCATTAAATGTTTGTAAAAGGTGATGAAAGTTTAAAAAAAGGTAGATGCGCGTACTTTGTATGCACTTCTGTTACATTTCTACGAAAAGTGGGTTGGCCAACACGAATTTGCTGTGCACCATTGGATTCTGCAGACATTTCTGAAGAGGAACCCCCCCGTGGGAAGCGTGACATCGGTTTTTCTTTGGGACAGGGTAAGAAAATCTCCGCGAACGGAACTTTCGCGCCACACGGCCATCGCTCGCCGGCCACAGCTATGCAGGGCCGTGACTACGCGCTGTATAGACCTGGACCCCGGTCACTTCTTATATGTATATATGGACCTTTTACTTTGAAAGTGGCGTAAGTCCATTTTCTCTTGTTTCGAAAAAATGAAAGGTTAACATATCTGTGAATTAAAAAATTTAGACAAATTATATGAAGTCTGGCAATGTTTCTACTGTTTTATCAATATGTAATTTGTTTATATAAATTTGTTTTAGGCGTATAAACATTTAATGATACGCAAAATTCAAAATTTTTATAGCTACGTGATCGGGCAAGTCTCCTTTATTTTTTGTGACAAATTTTAACTTTCTATCGTTTTTAGTTTTCACGTAACACTTGGTTTTCTGAAAAATTCGACCGTTTTTACAAAATTCCAGTTTTTTCTGAACTTGACCCAGCAATTTGGTTTTAGGATTCGTATTTAGGGTAAGGAACTCTATAAGAATTACATAGTGGGTATTGCAAAAACTAACATCGGTCAAAATTTGTTCCACAGTGTAATCATTATTTCTTTAAATAATAATATTTAAGGGAATATTAAGATATTTATATTATAATTAAAAACTTCATCTTGATCTTATAATTTATTAAAAAATTTTAAGTAATGACTACTTCATACAGAGCATAATTATTATATACATATTTTATATAATAGTAACAATACAGTAAGTAACTGACATATGTATTTTGATTAAAAATTATTTACAACTTACTAATGCTTTGAAAATATATCTGAAAATAATATTATTGCAAAATTTCTGCATAAATATTCAATTTATATTATTTCTCAATGGAAATATTACTCTATTGGTTATGACAGTTATGGCATAACATCAGATTTATTTCTCTTCGGTAAATTCTGCTCTAGGAATATATATATTCTCTGTCCGTTGGTCACACTTGGCTGCAATGCGTGATGTTGTCAATAAAAAGTTTTGTAGTTTATTTAAATATATTTGTGCTTCCTTATTCAATAAACCATCCTGTACCAATGATGCAACGTTCCTTTCTACACGTTTACATATTGCTTTCGCCGAATGTAGAGTAGAACAAGCCTTACCACCACCCTATTAAAAATTTATGAAATGAAATATGGGTAAATTGTATATTTCTATGTATAATATTGTTAAAACTACTAATTTTCTACAATTGTGCTATTATTTTATATTACAAATTTATTTACTACGATTATAACAAGTTATAATAGGTAAAAATATTTTTCTATTACCGGAATGATATAGGTTTCTTGAGGTGGCAACTGATTAGCATACTCTGATATCCATTCTTCCAAATCATTAACATGTTTAGTTTCAAATGATTTATATTGCCCTGGCATTGTTTTTGATATAGCATGACTTAAATCAAATAAAATCATTTGCACTCTTTTCAATTTATCAACATATGGATGTTCGACTTTGCTATCACTTGCAAATTCTCTTGCTAGTCCTATTTGTGCTAATAATTCTTCAGTCGAAACAAGTGCATTAAATGTAATATCATTTGTCGCATTTAAATCTATATCTGTATTTGTTCTTGAATCATCATCTTGTGCAGAAGTAGTCTTTCCTGTTACTTTTGCTGTGGAACTGCTGAAATTGATAAATATCCTATGACTTATTACCAATAATACTATGTTATTTATAACATTAATAAATGTATATTATACATTATAATTATACAATTTTCCATAAATGTATGCTAGATTAAATGATAATTAAAATTATATAGAAATTAATATTAATATCTTTTCCAACTTTTAGGTATTCTTAAATTGGTTTAAACAATTTATGGAATAAAATGTGTATATTAATAGATGCACTGCAATACATAGAATCCAGCAAGATCATAATTAAAAATTATTTTCAGAAATCCAAATTAGCTAGTTCTTAAAATAGATGGTTCTTTCATACAAAAATACAAAAACTACTACTTTTTTTACTACCATAATATCTTTCATTAACCACTGAACCTAAATTTCCATTTGTGAAAAAGTATGATTTATTATCTCATTGTTATCTCCAAATATAAGAAATACATTAATTATGATTGGTTTTTTATGCATATTTTATAATTTATAAATGGCTCCAACCAAATAAAATTAATAACTTCATTTAATGATATTCTGATATCATAAGATCAATAAGAACTTCCATTTTACATTTTGATTACATTCAGATGAAAAAAAGTGTCTTCAAGACATTTTCTATTTCTCCTAAAAATAAGAGTTTTAGACAAGGTTTGTTTCTATTATGAGTTTTTTAATATTAATATATGTGTATACACATTTGCAAAATATAAAGAATACTGTACAATTTTATATATAATTAAAAATTTAATACGAAAAATAAAAATATACCGGTAAATTAAAGCTCATAATACGTCAGAATATTTTCGAAAAATAGATGAATACTTTATATTTACATTTTTATCAAAAGAATTAAAATATATTCGAAAAATATTATGAAAATAGCATTATTTTGTGTTTACATTAATTAACTAAAAAGTATTCTAGAAAATGGAAAATGAAGTTTAGGTTATGTCAATCTCACCATGTACCTATTTCGTAAAGAGACTTGCATTGCAACTTTATACATTAAAAGATGTTTATTCCATACACTTCTGACTACTTCCATGTTTATAATAAGAGATATAATTACGTTAGAACACTTCTTCTAAATATTCAATTTTTATCGCAGCAAATGTTACGATTTACATTCACTAACATGCTTTGAGATCATGCTGTTACCCAAAACCTGCGCACTGTTATACACCATTTTATTTATTTGAAAAAATTTCAATCAGCACACCATGTAAATCGATTAAATATTTTCGATTGAATATATTCAAATAAAATGTTTAAACACTGTTAAATTTAAAACACTAAAAAATAATCAGTTTTAAAGAAAACATTAAGAAACAGAAGATCGTATCGTGAACCAGTACTGAACATATGGTTTATTCGGTTAATAAGTAGAAAACAAGAGTAATGAATAAAAATATTTTCATTAAATAAAAATTTATTTGAACGAGTTTGTTATGTTTACAGTATTATAATAAAAATTATTTTTATTATTTGCATAAAGGTTAATAATACGAATAAATCAAATATTTCTATATGAATAACAAATAAAACTTATCTGGTTGAAGTATTCGAATAATAAAAATATATTCAGTTAATTGTCATAACTAATATATAATAATATATATATAGCAATAGGAAATATATAATGCTTTGTAATTTTTCTTATAATATTTAATGATATAGTATTGCAAACATTATCATGATGTTAATATATAATGGACATTATAAGTAGCATATATCCTTGTTAACAAGAAATTATATTACA